ATTAGATAAAAGTATCTAGTATATAGGGTAGTAGAAATAGTTAATGTAGCATAGTTAATGTAGGAAATGTTAATGTGGTAAATATTGTTAATGCAGGCTAGTAAATGTACTAAATGTAAGATGGTTATTTGTGAATTTAGGATCATAAATGAAGTAAATGCTGTAAATACAGGCTATTGAATGTAGTAAATGTTTAAACATAGGAAAAGTTGTAAATGTGATAAATGTTATGACTGTGTTAGATGTAGTCATGTAAGCCAGTGAATATTAAAGTACTAAATGTTCTACATAAATGTTTTTAAAATAGCATAAATGTATATTGTTGTGTTCTATGCAGTACGGGCTGTTGACATGATTGAACGTCAGAATTGAGGTGAGGAGTGTGCAGCAGCAGCAGCAACAGACAGAACAAACAAAACAGACAGAACAGACAGAACAGACAGAACAGACGGAGCATCACTTCCACGTGAAGTCTGTTTAATGTGAATAATCTTTCACAGGCCGTGATTAAACCTCGGCCCTCTGACGTCACACAGATTGTCTGCGGTAGGTGAGTCTCGCGCGGACAGCCGTGCACTCTGCTCGTGCTCTCGCGCCCCTCCTGCCTTCCTTCGTGAACATATGCGATGAAACCGCTCGCGCTCCCTGTCATCATCATCATCACCATCACCACCTTCATCATCATCATCTTCATCAGCGCCGCCCTATAGAGAGAGAGAGAGAGAGAGAGAAAGAGAGAGAGAGAGAGAGAGACCCCCTCCCCACCTAACAACAACCCCAACCCCGCAGGCTCGAGCACAACGACCCCACCCCCCAACCCCCTCAGAGCTAGGGACGGTGCGAGACACACTCTCGGAGTCACGGAGGAAGGAGCGTCTGCGGATCCCGGCTCTTCTGCCCTCAATCCGGGCCTAATGCTGTAGCGGACCGCGCGGAGGTAGAGACATCGCGCTGACAGAGAGTCGGTGAGGGACCGGAGCGACGACGGGATTGTTCATTCGCCTGGAAACATGGGATGTACACTGAGCGCCGAGGAGCGCGCCGCTCTGGACCGGAGCAAGGCCATCGAGAAGAACCTGAAGGAGGACGGCATGGTGGCCGCCAAGGACGTCAAACTGCTGCTGCTCGGTAAGAGGAGAGCCTCCCCGGCCGCGGGGCCGCGGGGCCCGGCTCGGCTCGGCCCGGCTCGGCTCGGCTCGTGCTGGTGGTGGTTGGGACTGCATGGGGCGGAGGTGCTCTCCGTGGTACTGATTTCATTGCTCTCACTCTGCCCTCCGTTTCTCCACAGGCGGCGGAGAGTCCGGCAAAAGCACCATCGTCAAACAGATGAAGTGAGTGCTTTTTATTCTGATTCTATTCGACCGTTTTTACTTGAGTTTTATTTCACCTCTCTGCGATGGAGGCAGAGTAAAAGGCCCGAGATTGCGCCTCCCCTGTCTGCGCTCAGGCAGGTTGAGCCGCCATGTTTCGAGAGGCCGTAGCCCCGGAGGAGCAGAGCCGGTGACTCGAGCTCCTCCTGCGGACCCACAGTGACGCTGCTGCCGAGGCCGCAGCGGTGCGTCCCACAGGGCGCTGTTCACTGCCCTGGGTGCTGAAATGTAGTTAACGAGGGTTTTAGTTGACTACAGGGAGCGAGCGACTGGGGAGATGTGGGTGTTGTTCCTCTCTCTGTCTCTCTCTCCCTCTCCCTCTCCCTCTCTCTCTGTATGTGTGTGTGTGTGTATTACAGTGAGGTCACTACAGCTCCATTAGTGAATACCTCTGCTTTTAATCTTAATGGCTTTAAGTGCCCGATATCGCCGGGAGTACTTTGCCTATAAAGCGGATTTACGGAGAAATATGGCTCCTAAACCCGCATCTAAACCTTCCCCTTTCTAAGCCAAATCACCCTTTTTCACCGTTTTTTTTTTTTTTTTTTTAAATCATTGTCGTTGTTTTCTCTAAACCTCTTAGTTAAGTTTCTCGACGTTTCAGTCGCGGTCCATTGAATATTTTGTCCCGTCTCAGCCTGCGGTGTGTGTCTGTGCCTTCTGCTCAGCTCAGCCCGGCCTGCAATGCACTGACTGCGCCCTGCCTCCTCCTCCTCCTCCTCCTCCTCCTCCATGCCCTGCTTCCTTCTCTTCCCTTCACCTCATTACCCTCCCCGTGGTCTCTGGTTTGTCCATAAGTCACTGCTCCGTCCTGGAGTCAAGACACCGGAGCTGAAAGGTGTTTACCAACACCCTGCCTGGTTTGTTTGAGCCTCAGCAAGCAGTAGATGGATGGGTACAGTCTATAGGCCATACAGTGCAGGTATTGGAGGGGATATTTATTAAATTATGCTCTACTGTGATTTTTCTGCTAATCATCACCATCTTCTTCACATGCTGGTCCAGGGTTTCTTTATGTAGTCTGATCGAGGCCTGACTGTGGTCGTGAAATTACACGTGTCTTTAATAGAATCTAGAAAACCACAAAAGCAACTTTGTAATAATTTAAATTGTCAAAATAAAGGTAGTGTCACATCTGTAAAATGTGAGTTATCTGAATTGAACGAGAGCGTACTTCACTGACATGTAGTTCTGAGCAGGCTCATCACTTGCAGCTGTAGAAATGTCAGTGGTGTCTATTTTTACACGTTTCAGACTCTGTGATTGGTCAGTTTAAGTTTTCATCAAATGCACACGCTGCTGAGCTGAAATGATTCGTCCATTCAATTAAAAATTGATCTGCAACTACTCTGATCATCCATTAATCATTTGTTTAAGCAGATGGAATAAAAATCCACCAGTTCTGACTCAGTTCAGTATGGATATTTACTGGCTGTTCCTCTTCGAGGTTTTGGGCTGTTAGTCGGTCAAAATGAACAGATTATGAAACTATGAAAAGCGTTTTTTAAACTACTTCTGAAAATGTTATAAACCAAACATCAAATGGAGAAAATATTCAGATTTATTGACAGTGAGTATATTGGTTATTATCATTATCAATATAAAGTTATTTCTTTAGCATGTGAGGCTTATTTACTTATTCACGATTAATTACACTGTACAATCTTTGACATCTTCCTTCTCATTCAGGGATTTTCTCAGGTAAATGTTTAACAGAGGCAATAAACAACCAAGATGCAGATAAATCTCACACCTTAACACTTGTCTCAGTTATTTTAGAGCTGAAACAGAAAGCTGAATCTTTTAGCATGAAGGAATAATCAGTTGAACCTTTTGTTTTTAGCAAAATGCCCCAAATCAGCCAATTTCTGCTTCTAAAATGTGAACATTTTATGCTTTTTTTGTCATATCTGAGAGTAAGATAAATATCTAGGAGTTTTGGATGGTTGGTCACACAAAACTAAATATTTAATATATGATAATAATATTCTGAGGAAATTTAAAACATTTTCACTGTTTTTTGATATTCCATGGACCAACAGATTAATCAGCAAAATAATCAATATATCAAGTAATGGCCTTTGTAGTGTGAAACTACATTTCTACTGCTTTTCCTTTAATATTAATGTTTTATTTCACTTTTTATGACGATAGTGGGGGTGGTGTTTGATTCGTGCCCGGTGGTGGATCTCCTCTATAAAACATCTTTTCATAATGTCCTCTGATGAAAAAAATTATAGGTCAAAACCATCATCCCTCATTTATTTCCCATCAATCACTCATCACAAAGGAGACAAAAAAGAGAAACAGCGGTGATCTTACATTTTCTGATTCACTGATATTCTGTGGATTCAGTGCATGTGAGGTCAGGGTGGGTAATTAATGTCAACCACATTTCAAGGAGTTTAACCATGTGGCACTAAATGTAACAGTAGAGTCTGGTGTAGTGAGAGTGATCAGTGCTCTGACTGATTCCCCTCCTTTGTCCATCATAAATTATAAATGACTTGAAGTATCACATTGCTGTCCAAGTAGTGATCAGAGACCAAGAATATGATCAATTTCTGTCCCATCACACACTGACACACTGAAAGATGCACACACACACGCACATACACACCCATCCCCACCCACCCACACAATGCTCAATAATCTGCCTATACATTTGGAGCTTTCATTTTGAAATGTCAGTTGTTTAGGTCGTGCAGGAACATATGGACGTGTGTTACTTTTTCTGTTTAGTCCGAGCTTGTGTCTAATATCTGTGTGCGCCTGCAGGATTATCCATGAAGATGGCTTTTCTGGGGATGATGTGAAGCAGTATAAGCCTGTGGTCTACAGCAACACCATCCAGAGCTTGGCAGCCATCCTCCGAGCCATGGACTCACTGGGCATCGAGTTTGGAGACAAGGATAGAAAAGTAATTCTTACACCTTAACCCCCCACCCCCACTCCTGTGGACTGACTAGAAACTGAGATTTTATTTATCTATCCTTAAAAGGGTTGAAATGTGAGTCTTCAGACAAAAAGATTTCAGCAAAGATTAAAAGATTGTTTTTCATTACAATCACAATATCTGTGTGGGTCAAGATGTTTACTTGATGCCCCTCACGTGGACTGGATAAAAAGATTTATCATAATGTTAAATGTGTTTGTCCAGGCCGATGCCAAGCTGGTGTGTGATGTGGTCAGTCGTATGGAGGACACAGAGCCGTACTCTGCAGAGCTTCTTACAGCAATGAAGCGTGTCTGGACCGACGCTGGGACTCAGGAGTGCTTCAACCGTGCCCGGGAATACCAGCTTAACGACTCCGCTCAGTAGTGAGTAACCCTTAAAGGATTTCTATTTGCAAAAAACAGACAAATGAAAAAGAACAGTCTCGTTGATCTGTCTTTCTGTTGTCACCAGCTACCTGGACAGTCTAGATCGGATCGGGGCAGCAGACTATCAGCCCACAGAGCAGGACATCCTGAGAACCCGAGTGAAGACCACCGGTATCGTTGAAACCCACTTCACCTTCAAAAACCTCCATTTCAGGTAACAAACACGGAGTCGTTGCAGTGTCATTTTTTTTATGGCATTTTGTCTTTTCATTAGGTTCAGATGATTCTGGCTCTGCATCCACACTGACTTCTTGTTTTCCCAGGCTTTTTGACGTGGGAGGTCAGAGGTCAGAGAGGAAGAAGTGGATCCACTGCTTTGAAGATGTGACGGCCATTATCTTCTGCGTCGCTCTGAGCGGATACGACCAGGTGCTCCATGAAGACGAGACAACTGTAAGTATGACTGTCGATAGTATCAATGTTCTCTAGTGCACGGGCCATGGCGGGGCTTTGGCTTATGTTAAAGGCTGATACCAAGGATTCCTGGTGGCTTATTGGTCAAGATTCATGCCATGAGACTGCAACGACCCTAAAGCCCAATATTTACAGACCGATGATGCCAAATCTTTATACTTTCTGTACCACACCCTCAGTCCTTAGACAAGGTAATGAATGAAGAACAACCTCTTACTGGGAAAAAAAGGCTTGAGAAACCACATGAAGAAGGATTTTTCTGTCCGGACAGACAGTGAAATGTCCACTACTTCTACTAAACTGGAAAATTAAGCTATTTAGCCATTTTAAGGGATTTAGGGATTATTTTATTTCTTTTTGTTTTTAGTACATTTTAATGGTTTGTTCAATGTCAGCCAGGTTTCAGGGGTTGGGTTACAAGGAAAAATCTTTAATTTTTGTTTAATTCAATACAGATATAAAATGCACACTACACACGTGAGAATATGATACAAAACAATCATTACATTCTCCAAAAATGACAACAAAACAATACAAATATTAAAAATATTAACAAACAGAAACATAAAAAAACAAATGGACATTTCCAGGATCTGTTCAATAACTCAAATTATTAGATTTACAATACCAGTACATCTAAACACTGATATAAACATATAACAGGTATACAGCACATCCAAAGTCTCATATAGTCCAGCTCTTCACCAGCTAATTTCATGTTGTGCTACTTTGTTTTGTATCTGTAGTCATTATTCTCTCTTAAAGAAATTGACCATGTGATATCGATTTAAAAAAGAAACTTATATTCAATTTTATTGTGTATTTTCTGTCATCCAGATGCCTGGAGTTGGATTAAAACGTTTATTTGTTCTGCTCCTCACAGATATTAAATAAAATAAAGTGTGTAACATCATCATCAGTGACATTCAGCAGTCAGTCAAACTGTGAATTGTGTTCTCCTTTCCTCACTGTTACATTTATTCTTCCTGCAGAACCGCATGCACGAGTCGCTCATGCTCTTCGACTCCATCTGTAACAACAAGTTCTTCATCGACACCTCCATCATCCTCTTCCTCAACAAGAAGGATCTGTTCGCTGAGAAGATCAAGAAGTCGCCACTGACGATCTGTTTTCCAGAATACACAGGTGAGTGATTCCCGTTGTTTACTTTCACTCTGAATCAGATCACAGTGATGAACACGAATCCTTCATGCTGTCTGGTCTCTTCTCTCCTCATCTTGTCTCCAGGTGCTAATACTTACGACGATGCTACTGCATATATTCAGGTTCAGTTTGAGAGTAAGAACCGCTCTCCCAATAAGGAGATCTACTGTCACCTGACCTGTGCCACAGACACAGGTAACATCCAGGTAGTGTTTGATGCCGTCACTGACATCATTATTGCAAACAACCTGAGAGGGTGTGGCTTATACTGAGGCCTGGCCAAGCACAGAGGTTGTCATGGAGAGTATGAGGTGTTAATAATGATAATTTTGATGATACTTAAACACATAAAATATGTAATTCTACACGTCCGAATGGACCCAAAGAGCTGCCGTCAGACACCACACTGGATTTATTGCCATGATTTCTCCCCTTTGTCTCTTTTTTTATTTCCGTACACAGCCCCAGTTTTTTTGTCATATCAAAATGTGATTTTTGAGCTGAATGTTTCATGTTTCGTTGATGAATGTGTCAACAACCGGAACGACACAGGAGTCGCAGCTCTCACAGGCCAGAAAATACATCACGGGGAACGGGCACCATTTTTTTAAGCACAATGTTGAATATTGTCTCATTCTTTATGTGATGGTTTTTTTTTTATGTACAAGTCTCGAGGCATTGACATCTGCACCACTGAATACAACCTCTGGTGCTCCATTTGAAGAGCTGCTGTGTGTATGTGTGCGTGTGTATGTGTGTGTGTGTGTGTTTGTTTGTGTGTGTGTGTGTGTGTGTGTGTGTGTGTGTGTGTGTGTGTGTGTGAAGGTGGAGGAGATGGTTGTGATGTTGGGGAGGTGCTGTACTCGTGGCTGAGGATTGTGGCTGGAAAGAAGGAGGCTATTTTAACTTTCAGGCTGGACAAAGCTCGCCGCTCCTTCGGTCCCACACATGACTGAGCAGCCTGCAGGTCTTCTCTCTTTACTCAAAACATAATGAAAGAGACGATTCTTCTGTTCAGAGTGGCTGCCCACTTCCATTGGCCGCCTATAGAATGAGGAAACAATCAGCCAATGAAATTAAAAAAAGTAAAAAAAAAAAAAAAAATCATGGTGCCAACCATCTGAGAACAACTGGGTTGGAATCACAGCTCACACTATGAACCCTTATTATTTAAGATTTAAAATATAAGATTTTATCATCATCGAATGATTTATGTAATTAACCCTCATGCCCGACATGCCTCCTCCTACCTCCTGATATCCCGTGCCACATATTTATTTCCTGTCATGAAAAACTGGGGTACCACGATTACCTGTCTAAGGTTCAGAGGGTAGAAAGCAGCTCTCCAATGACATCTTGTTCTCTATGTGGTGCTTTTACCCCTTTGATGTGAATCTGTGTAGAAATAGAAGACTGCACAAGGAGAACAATTTTATTTGAGGCAGCCTGTCTGGGGAGTTGGGATTTTTATTTAAAACTCTTTTCTCCCCTGATCAGTAAACAGGGAACCATCATCCCCTGTCTGTCATGTTTCTCTTCTCACAACTCTCCATTTTCACCTGTGCACCCAGGAATTCCTCCTCCCATGCCTGTATACTCTTCCCTGTCACATATCAATCCCCATATCCTATCTCCATCTTCACCTTAAAAGCACCGTACTGTATATATATATATTATGATTATACCAGATTTTTTTTTTACTGTGAATGTTTTTGTGCTGCACCCCCATCCTATTCGGTAGTTTATTGGTTGCTCTCATGTGGAATGTTTGTGCTGAGCCAATCGAATGTTGTGTTTACATTAAAGCCACACTTTTCCTAACGAGCCCAGTGTCCGTGGTCTTTGAGTCTGATTTCGCCGGAGAAGGCGAGAGTTTAAACACACGCTGACCTGCTTTAGTCTGCAGGTGTAACAAGGTTATATCAGGAAATTAGGCTGAACATTATGAGAATGGAATGCTTTATTTTAATGCTTCATTAACTGGTGAACACAGCTTTGTATTTAGTGTCAGAAACACGCATAAAAGATTGGGAACAGGTCTCACATGGCACTAGGGCAGCACTTGGTGAAATGTGGCGGATGGCAGGGATCAGGAGCGCTCCGTTGTGCCTCTCAATTTATTAGGTTAAAAGTGTTCCATCATCACAGACAAGGAGCTATTCATATATTGAATGACTAGGCTGGATCAGCTGTCTGACCTGCTTCTGTCAGTTTAATGGGTATGATGTTCATTACTGCTCTGTTTCACTCACTCTTCAGTCCCAGTGTGTCCTCGTTTCTCAGAACCATTCACAGGTTAAAAGGTTCCAACTCCTGCTGTCGTACAATTACACACACACACTTTTAATTACACATTTAGCAGAATATTCTCATATTTTACAGTTTCCACTTATTCTCCTGCCACGTAAACGCAAGCACTGACCCCAAAACAGCTCTAATACACACTGACATCAACCGGGTGTCGGAAGGGGGGCAGTTGGAAAACTCGACTGAAATCTCCTGGGAGAGAAAATGAGCATTTGTTTCCTACGTAAAAAAAAGAAAAGAAATCCCCAGCCATTTGCCCATGCCCTGCCCACATCCATTTACAGGAACGTGGATTAAACCTGGATTGTGCAGGGCGCTCTTTAGTGCAATGCATCACAAGGTGTGTGCTGCACAACAGTCACTGTTAACAAGCAGACCGGTTCAGGAGTTACAGTCTCAGCCTCTTGATATCTTCACTTCTGAAGTCGATACGCAGCGCCAGAACCTGCCGCACCTCGGCTGGCGTCAGCCGCCACGTCAGGGGGCCCGAGTTAGAGCCCCAGTAATCCAAGATCTCTGTAACCTGCAGCAGAAACAGATACAAGTGAGCCAGTGTGAAGCAGATTCTTCAGTCAACGTAGCACACTGGGTAAAGAGAAATGGTTAATTAATCACCCGCTCCAGGTTGAGGATGGTGGCCATTTGTGTGAGGCGAGCAAACTTATCCCTGATGGTCCAGGTGGTGACGGTGGTGAGATACGCCACAAGAGACCGAAGCTCTTTATCGAACTGCAGCCCTCCGAGCTACAACAGAATAATCAACATTGTGTTAAACATCTAAAAACATGGACATGTTATTTATACAGGGATGTTTTAATTAAAACTGAGGAGAATGAGAATGTATTTTGTGGTCTTCAGTAAAGAAAACACGGCTCAAAGCAGGATAGGCCAAAAGGAAGCACCCTCTCCTGCAGACCTTCCTGGTCTCATTAATAAATCAGGGCTGGAGGCTTTTCATCTGTGTCAGTGATGTGATGTGATTTGATGTGATGCACAGGGAGCTCGCTGCCACCTGGTGGCTGAGCTCAGCTCCTCACCCTGCTGAATGAGCATTTGAGGACAGTCTTCTCCATCTCTATTGATATCAAGGTGGTCATGAGGCTGGTGAGAGTGTCGTAAATGACAGGAGAGAGGGCCATCTGGTGAAAAAATAGAGCAAAGAAAAGGTTCAAAATAGCAAATAAGAGAACATGTTTTCAGAAAATATAAAAACCAGGCGCTCGAACATTGCAGATACCTTGAACTCTGCCATGAGCTGCTCCAAGTTAACGATGAGCTGCTGCACCCAGGGATCATTAGCTTCATAATCATTAAACTCCTCCTGTGAGGAAGAGCAGCAGTTACAGTGACGTGTTTTATCGACCTCTGGTTTATTTGTGTGCAGGATTCTGAGATCATTACCTCCTCTATGTTATGTGAGATTGCCAGGAAGCTACTGATCCATGGTTTGACCTGAGGCTTCACTGCTGTGGTGTTTAACTCAGTCAGACCCTCCTGAGAAACAAAATAACGGGGAATCAAACTGTGAACAAACAGTGTCTCATCGTAACATATGTGGTTCTACACGGCTGGCATCGGCGAGATTGACTCTATATAAAGATGGATACGATGACAGGTCAGCAAAAAGAATCGAAATCATCTTGATTGCGTCCTGGAGAGAATTAGGTCAAAATCCTGCCTCCTCCAATTTAGTGGAAAGTCAAAATAACGTCAAACAAATTGTCTCATAATTGGTCAAGTGTGTGCATCTGCAGGACCCCGATACATCGTCTCCACACAATCATCACTACTGATCAGATTCTGGCTCCAAATGACATCAATAGTGCAAGATCCTGCATCCTGGATATTTTAACTTAATGTTTTTACAAGGGGAGGAAGTGGAGATGAGTCGTCCATCTTTATATACAGACTATGGTGACTGTTAAAAAGTGTTGGAATGAAATCCATATTTTTTCCCCCATTCTGCAGCACCTACTATGTAACCCTGAGAAGTGTGCATGTGTGTGTGCGTCTAACCTGTAAGAGATCCTTGAACTTTGTGGATGTGTTGACGAGGTCGGACAAACAGCTTTCAATCTTGGCTTGCTCTCCAGAGAAGCCACCCTGACTGAACAACTTGGAACAATCGTTCTGCAGAAGACAATAGAAATTTGTAAAAGTCGATTTTTCAGCAACGAGCTTAACTCTGCACAATGTGATGACTATAAAAAAGGCAGAGTGTTGGAAAGACGATAATCTTACCTCTAGGTTCCTCTTTAAAGTTGTGATATTCTCACTGCACACCTCAACATTATTCAGAGTCACCTGAGATAGAAAGAAACTAAGTGTGGATTAGTTCGTACAACCAGTTTGGTTTGTTTAAAAGCTGTTTTCTCCTCAAAGCTGTGAGAAAACTTGTGTTACTCTTCAATCCCATAGTTTAGTAATTAGCGGTTGGACATTTTACAGCAGCACAGACCTGGTGGGGACACAGGCCAACACAACTGACCCTAAGTAACGTAGACGTTCTGTTTCCACTGGTAATTTAGTTTTATCTCTTGAATATTTATAGCTGTTGTCATAGAAGCCACACACTAAAAATGAATAATGGTAACTCTTTGTTTTATGGGTCACATATTTAACATCTTGAACAAAATGATTAGGGACTTAACAGCCACTAACACTTTATCCATATCAAGAGTCCAATCATGAAGGACTTTGCTGGATATTATCATGTAATTTACAGATAAATATCAGCTATGAGGAAACTGTTATTATAACAACTTCTGGCTTTTTGACAGCCTCCTTTGGTATTACATGATATACGTAAATAACACCATAAACAGTTAAGAACTTGTGTGAGGGTTTTCTGGCATCAACAAAACTATGAATTTTTGTAAGAAAGACAATCTGATATTTTTCTCATTTGTTTGAAAAGAAAACAGAAAAACTTGGCTTCAAAGGTAAAACTAGTACACAGCCATAAACCACAGTGTCTCTTTGTTTCATTTGACTTTTGACAAATGGGTTAAAAGGTTTTTGAAGTAGTGCTCCCTTCAGCGGAGAGTCATATTTTAAAAATTAAAGAACTTCTTACATTACTCAAATCAGAGATGGTTATTCATGCATTTTACCCCTCACTTAAATTGCACCCGCTCTCTTTACACACACCATCAGTTTTCTCTCAAACACTGTTTTGGTATTATTAAAGCCAAATTTTTTTTTAATCATAGACAAACTAACTTTTATTTTCTAAAAGAATAGTGGGTATACAAAAGCATGTGTATGTGTGAATAAGACATAACGTGCATCTTACCAGAAACGCAGCCTTAGCGTGTTCAGCGCTCTCGATGCCCATAGTGTTGAACTTGCCCTGTTGCAAGCTGCTCTGCATCAGACTGACTGCACTGCTGACGCCACGCTGGATGTCCTGAAGAGTCGTCGCCGGGAAGCCCTGCCGTAGCTTATTGTACAACACCTCCCTGACAGGTGAAGAGAGCCGTTTACATGGACTAAAACACTTGGGACGGAATCATTCCTATACAATATGCTGTTAACATATTTTTCTTATAATAATCACAGAGTCTTCCTACAGGGTTCATTGTAAGCTCTATTTCAACTGATTTGTATGAGGTTCTTCATACTGTGTCGTCCCTCTGTGCAGATTATTTCATCTTTAAATCAGTAAATAACAAAGTTGTCCATTTTGTTAGTTGATATTTCTGTAAAAAATAAAGAGCTATTATGTTAAAAAAGATTATAATAGTCATCTGTATATATAGTGATCTATTTGACCCAGGCAGACCTCATCACTAAAAGTGATTTCCACTGTGAAAGAGTGGTGAGCACCTGAAGTCCGACTCCAGCACAGAGTTAGCGTGGTTGATCATGGCACACAGGCAGTCGATGCTGGAGCTGGACAAAGCTCTGCTGATGCACTTCTTCACAATGTAGAAACAGTCGTCCACCATACTGGAGGTCAGCTGCCCCTTTTCAGACGTATCCATAGCAACAGCCTGAGGAAAAAAAAAACACTTTAATACAGTATGACAGTTTAATACATTCTGATAAGTCATTATTAGATTCTACTTTATTATTATTTGGGAAAATATTTATAATAAAAAATGTCATGTTATCTACATGTGTTGGCTTCTTTTTTAAAAGGATCATATGGTTATTTCATTCGAACTAGGTATTCATCAACTCAATCACAGCTCCATCAGAGGCATGGGTGTGTTTTGGTACTAGAGAGTAATCTATATTTTATGTTTTTTCCCCACAGTGGATGTCAGATCCAATATATAAACCTTGAATTATACAAATAACTGTATAAAAAGCTGAGTAGTACCTTGTTTACAGACTCCCTCATGTAATATTCTTCCATTGGAATATAGAAGCCGATCAGCTCCTGCATTGTTGTACTCAGCAGACAGTGTTTCAACAGCTTCTCCACATTCTGCTGATGTTCTGTTCAAAAATACGAGAAAACAATATTACAATGGAGTCCATTCATTGTAATGTGATCTCAGACTTGTCTTTGTTTCAATAATCACACGTTCATATGAATCTACCCTGTGTGATGCTCTGAACGTCTCCAACTTCAAAGTCAGCCATCATGCGGCGCCGTAAAAAGCGCAGGTAGAGCTCTGACCGTGCGTTCATCAGGGTAACTTCTGCCAGCACAGGGTCCAGCTCCCTGTTCATGTGAGACAGAGGAATGAACAAACACCCTACAGAGACAAACATAAATGGTAATAGAGCATGTTGCTGAAACACTCAAATACCTGGGCTCAATTCTCTCTCCTGGCATGCTCTTCATCATGCTGCTCTGCACAATCTGGAACTACAGGATGGAACAAGGTCACAGTAAGTACAGGTTTGCAGTTAAAACACAAGCATGCTCAGGGCCCCCTTGTTTGCATGTTTGCAGTTTTACCATTAAAAAGAGCTTTTTCAAAGATTCTAGTGACCTTTGATTTTTATAGCAGGTTCATGATTATCACCAGACATCTTTCATAGTCTGAAGAGCTACACATTCAACAGTAAAGTGTGGGAAGAGTATTCAAGTTAACTCTATTCAAATCGATCTTAAACTGCATTCAAATAATAAAGTTTGCTGGATGAGAATAAAGCGGATCATTTAACCTGATAAGGGCAGATTAACCTGAATTAGAAGAGCAGATGCCTTTCTAACCTTGTTGTGGTATCCTCTCTGCTGGATGAACTTGTCAACTATTTTCTGAGCCTGTCGGTCACATTCCTGCTGCAGGTGAGTGATGAGTGTGTACAAATGCCCTGGACCATAATACGTCTCAACTATAGGCTGATGAGTCTCAATGACACGAGCAATGCCTGTAAACACACATCAGTGCATTAGTGGAGTTCGCACCAGGCAATAAAAGAAAAAGATTATACAGAGAAACACACTCAGTATCAGGTCTGTGTTCTCACCTTCCAAAAGCAGCGTCAACGTGTCTGCAAAGACAAGCAGTGCTCTCTTCTCACCCAGGTCTCCTCCTGTAGCGAGAAGCAGGTTTTCTTCGGCTTTAGAGGCAAGCTGTGTGGGTGAGTGTGAAAAACACAGAGAGAATAAATATTAGTTTCGTCTGATCAGAATCAAAACCATGCACTGTAACATATCTGTGACTAGCGCTGTATAAAAGACAAAGATATTTGATTTAGCGATCTCATGTTACCAAACAGGACTCCAAGTGTTTTCTCATTTTGTTTTAGGAACAGAAACATGTATTTACAGGATTGAAACAAGCTAAGCATTCAGCTGACACCAAAATACATCAAGTGTAACATCCAGATGAACTGAAATTACAAGTTTGAATTTACAAGCTACAAACAGGAAGGAGTGTGTATGTTTTACAACAGTGAATAATAGTAAAATATTAGAGAGTAAAAGATGCATTTTTCTCTTAATCTGTTATTTCAAAAGGAGACAAATTCTAAAACTGCATCTGGATACAGAATCTTCCACTGATCGTCATAAAAATACACATAAACAACCCAGGATTACAGATGTCTGTCATTCATATTGAGGTGTTTAGAAATCCATAGAAGCATATTGGATCTGCACCAAAAACTAAAAAATTACATATGGCTCCAATTTTTAATATTGTAGATTGGATTGAAAACTCAAAAACCTCTTAAGAAGTAGTAGGAGAATAAAAGTGTAGAAAATACTTTTTAATAACTAGATTGACTCTTTGAGGAATTACAACCAGCAACCCTCTTACCACAAACCTTTGCCACACTTGAGCAGGTCTCGTGGAGTTCACAACTCACCTGACTGCAGAGATATTGACCGAAGCGGGCGAGGCCCTGTTGGTGGAGGCCCAACAGAGGAAAGATCTTGAAAAACCTTTCCACCTGCGCGATATCAACTGCTGCTACAGCTTCATCCAGCTTCTCAGCAACTATAACCTTCAGCCTCTGCTCTGCCTCCTGCAGCATGACCAGGCTGGCATCCACAGCGCTGCCTGTGGAGACATGAGTCTGTCAAGTGATGGAAAAACATGTACAGGTAGCTTGCAGAAGTCAGTAACAGTTTGAAAAGCACTACTGTTTTTCTATTATTATTATTATATTCAAAGTGAATATTGTACAAAAAATCTTCAGTGCAGCGTAAGACTTTATACTGAGCAACTATGACAGAAACTTATTGGGTTCATACTTTCTTCTCCCTGCCTGCTCAGCTCTATAACAGACTGGTCCAGAGAAAGGTATCGATGGATGTGGGCAGCCGCCTGCTCAAAATCCTCGTTACGCAGAGCCGTCTGCACGCCGTCTGTGCAGAACTTCAGGTCGAGGATATCATCAGCCCGCTGGATGACGTTGTACAGCCGAGTCTAAATATAATTAAATAAGAGGTGCTTATTAATGCAGTGCCGTGATAACTAAGGTTATAGGGTTCAGTTTTTGTTGTGTGGTGAAAATCAATGAAGGTTTGTATGTTATGATCACTTATATCACTCCACACTGCCAAAAAAACTCTCTTCTATAAATAACAAGAGTCATGAGTGTGTTCTTACCTTTGCCAGGTCAAGCTGTCGGACTTTGCGGCTCACGTTTTCAGCCAGGCTGCAGGTAAATGTGATCATGCCTGACAGTTGACTGGCGTCTCCTCCGATCAACTGCAGGTTGGGCCTGACAATATAACAGACCAGATTTTACACAGCACAGATCATTTTATTAAGCTCACAGACTGTAGATGTTGAAGCTCAAATCAAAGATGATTAGGATTTTATGTGGCAACTCTCTAATCTGTACAAACTGTACCCCATCCTCTGCAGTGCCAGCATCTTGGTGTTTATGGTCCCTTCCTGTCCCACCAGTCTGTCCAGCTCAGCCTCCACTTCTGTCTGTAGTGATCAGAACACAAAACATTTCACAAGTCCCATTAATTGAGTCTCAAAAAAAGATATTGATTATTCAACAGCTAAGATCTGAAGGATCTATGCTGTGAAGATCTGTACTTGGCTGCAAATTGATTTTTAAATCAACATAGGGATACATTTAATTCCAAAGAAATTATTCAAAATTCCTATTTTGCAACATCGATCCATCCTTCATATTTGATTAGATTGTGTGTTTTAAATGCAAATTCCTAAATATAAAAATGTTGAATACCTGAAGCTACCAGATAAATACAATGAACTAAAGTGGAGTCTGAAGTGAAGTTTTAAGTAAATCGGTACTAGTATATAAGGAATGTATTTTTGTTGTTTCCTTAATATCAGGAGAACAACGTTTAATCATAAAAAGATTTTTTCAAAGTCCAAATATGATCCACATCCTGGAACCTCTCCGTAGTGTTTGACAGGTGCTGTTGGGTATTTTGTACCCAGATCATTTGGTGTCACCCCTGTCTTCCGCATGGTGTACACACAGTGAACAGACTGTGACCCTGACCTGCAGAGACAGTCTGACTGTTTCCTGTTAGTTTATAAATGATTTGTTCAAGTTGTTCCTGGTGATGGAACCAGCAGCTTCCTGGATGTTTACGTGGAGTGACACGGTGATCGTGTGAACACGTCACCTCACCACCGCTAAAGGGAGGATTTGAAACGAACCTCCTCCGCGCAGAGCTGCTGGTAAACTCCCTCCAGGTCCTCCAGCTCCGTCAGCCCACAGATGGTGTCCATGCTGATGGAGGACACCGGGCCGGAGTCACATCTTCTGGCCGCCACGGCTCCACTGTCCGCCATCTTCCACCACAGCAACACCGAGCCTGAGGGAGGACTTCCCCGGATACGAGCTGTCAGGCAGCGCTGCTTCGTTCAAAGAAGAGTCACAGAGGAGAAGACGCTGCTTTTTCACGACAAAATGTCGGTGAACGCGTCTTCAAACACTAAAATAACATTTTCTTTAAGCGTCGATACCATAAATTCAGACGTCACCATTAGAGACGAGCTGTGGCAGCACATACGCTACCTGACTAGTCAAACTCTGGGTTAAGCGTCTATTTTTTACGCATGCGCTGTACCATTTATATTTAAAGGATCCGTTCATGCATTTTCAAGTCTGCTTTGAAATAATGTCCCTGTTAATATGAAGCTTCAGTCCTGAGGTGATCGAAACTAATCTGTTATCTTCAAATCTTAGTCTTTATATACTCATATACTGCAGTTGGTTAGGACCTTCCTAATATGAGAAAGTAGAATAGTGGACAATATTTCCTCTTGTTTACGAATGTGTTAAGGGGAATGCATCTACGTCAGTGTCTTCTACATGTGTGGCTCCGCTCACTAAATATCAGATTGATATAAAAATGTTCTTTGTTCATGCTCACCAGTTTCTGTTTCGGTTATCACATTCACACGTAAGGTCCCCGGTTGAAGACCAGGTGGAACCTGGTTTTCTATTTTTTTTTTAATTTACTGTGACATATTTATTGTGTCTCTGTCAATCAGCTTATACTTCAATATCTCCATGCACACACATACAGTGACAGCTTTATAGTAGCTCTGGTGGCTTGTGAATGCAGGGTTGGAGATGTTTGTCCTGGTTCATATTCATTTATATTTCATGCCAGTGATGTCAGGTCATCAATCCATTGACTGTATGTTTCAAAACACATTTGGATGAATGACCTTTAAGTGTTTGAAATAGTTCCATGGCGTTTATAGAAAAGCTGAGTTCAGTCATGTTGTAACACCATCAGGAGGGTTATTGTCCTCTGGAAAACGAGAGAAGCTCTTCTCTTTCCTGCTGAAGCTCTTCACATTTCTTCTGTAGCTCTGTCCTTTCTTTCTTCAGCTCTTCTCTCTGTCTGCCCAGTTCTTTGGCTTCCTCCTGCTGCGCTTTCCTCAACGACTCGATTTTCTTCCACTCTGCAGCTGCCTCTCTGGCATCCGCTGCACGTACCTTCTCGAGTAGCTCCCTCTGATGGTCCAGAGCCCGGGCCTCCTCTTTCTGCGTTCTCCTCAGTGCTTCAATCAGCTCCTGCTCTCTTCTCAACAACCGTTTTTCTCCTTCAAATGCTCTTGGACATGGCAGCACACCTGTGGGAAAGATTACAAATTCCTTCAGGTCCACATTCTGCGGCTGGCTAATTTACAATACAAAGTGTTTCTATCAGCCAGTAGCTTATTTGGTCAGTCTCTCCACCCCCTCTGCTAACGTGCTATTTCTGTCTGCATCGGGGGGGTGTCTGTAAATTTAATCCACATGTAACAAGACAAATATTTAGTAAAATATTTACTTCTAAACCTGTAAGAAGAGGTAATTATTTATTTATTATTTACAAACTCTGACCTCTATATACTATAAAAGCTGACCTGACTGCTGCCTCTGCTCTTTGGAAGTGTCACCATTGGTGTTTGAGCCATGTGAAGACTCTGGTGGAAACGGTTTCAGCCCGTCAGCCACGAGCCTGGCAAACATCTCCGGGTGTCTCTTCAACATGTGGCGACGCAAGTTGCTGGTTCCGCCGCCTTCATTGCACTGTAACTTCTTCATGCAAATGAGACAGCGAGCAGCGTTCAAACTGTCCAGATGCTCAAAGTGCCTCCAGATCAAACTACGCTTGTGCCGGGTACATCTTACAGGATGGTTATCACCATCATCAAATGCCTGTCTGTGAGCAGCCTGTCCTGCTGGATCTCCCTGTGCAGCCTCCTGGACGCCGGTAACAGAGGAACTAATGTCAGATTCATTCACAGTCTCGTGCATGTCAGATTCTCCATCCTCCAGAGCAGATTCCACTAAAAAAGAGGAAATAAAGGGCTTCATTCAAATAAAATCTTACAATTTGACACTGTCAGGTTGTGTTTGTCTGACCAACAAAAATCCAAAACTTCACTGATCTCATAACACACTACATTGAACTACACCAAACCAAATATAAGAACAAAAACTATACAAAATATCATGCTAATAAATATAAAGTGTTGTACATAATATATATAAAGCAAAGTTCCATCCATCATGTAATGTTTGCAGCTGGATGTGTCCCACTGCGGTCAAGTGAGCAGACGTTCGTCTTTTCGTGATTTCAAGAGCGCCCGTACTACAGAATGTATAGCAAATGCATGTAGTCCATGATACGGAGCGAGCAAACCTATTACTATAAATATGCTTGATACTGAGTGAGTGAACAGTCAGGATGGTCCTGAGGACAACTGTATCAGCCTTTGTCAGAAATTATGGATCAAAGAGATTTTACAGTAGCAGAAAAGATTGTCTCGCTCCGTATCATGGACTACCTGCATTTGCCATACATTCTGTAATACGGGCGCACTTGAAATCACGAAAGGACGAACGTCTGCTCACTTGAGCGCAGTTCTGTCCCGACACATCTGTAAACGAACCCACGGAGGAGGTGCTGTACCAGAGCAGAGCTACTCACTGTCCGTGTGCGCCTCCTGGTGGCCGTTCCTGTTCGTGTGGACAGCCTCAGACGCTCGTCCCCTGAACTTCTTGCTGACCTCTCCGGGATGTTTGAGCCGCAGGTGTCTCAGCATGGACGTGGTGCTGCCCTGCTGTTTGGACTGGAGGCCGCTGCACAGCAGACACTGCACCGACCTGGAGTTCACGGATTTAAAGAAGCGCCACGCCACGCTCCGTTTGCGGCTGGTGACTGCGGCTGCCTCCGCCCCGCTCCGGTCCATTAATATGTCTCTGTGCTCTGTTTTCTATTGAGCCAGTTTCAATGTGTCAACACAACCGTGTTAGCTGCGATGCTAAGTTAGCCTGAGCCAGTCTATGTTTGTTGTGGTTACGTCATATCTGCGCCATCCTTTTGTTTTTTTTTCTTCTTCTTCTCCTCATATAATTTGGCCGTGTAGACGCTGTGAGGCACACTGCTGCCCCCCGCAGGATGGAATGTAATAAACACGCTTTATATTTTCATACAGAGCCCTCAGTCATGCAGAAAATGTAAAACTGCTTTTATTGAGCAATTTATTCTTCTACTACTTGTTTTTTACTTTAAATTATACTATGATGTTAGCAGCTACAACTAAGTGCTATTTTGTATCTAGTTATTTTTTCACATTTCAACATTTTGTTTGGTTAAACTTTGACTTATTCACAAACTTAATCAAATACTGTTCAAATACTGTTGATGAAATGTTTTACCAGCCGCATGCTACAAAGAAATTGGGAGACTAAGCCATTTCTATAAATCTGTGAATAAAACCAACAATAAATATTAACACGTGAAAAAAGTTACCATTTATCACTTGGTTAATAAAAATAGGTCAATATATGGCTATATAAAATGCAGAAAAAAAAACACTTTTTACAGAATAAACATGTAGGAGGGATGGTTTATGTTTATGTTTGACATTGCACATATATATTTATTTCTAAATTTTAAGTTCTATATATTTATTTTAATTCATATTATTTTTTAATAAAGTTTATGGTTAAACCATAGAGCATCAGGCCTATATTACTAGTTTTGTGTTTTAATATATGTGGATATATATCAGCAGATATATGGGTAAATATTAATGGGTAGAATTTTATTACTTCCGCACCCAACAATCAATCAGGCTCTAATGTTTAGGGTGCCTGTAAGTAAAGATTAGCATTCTGCTTGCTAAGTCTAGAACAACACTGGCCTGGGCAGGAACATCTGATTTAGAAAGTTTTGCATGATTTTAAAAATGTAATGATGTTTTGAACAATTCTCTTTTTAAAAGAATTTTGCTGGCATGTACAGATAAAGTACATTTTCTAAAGAAGAAATAAACCAAGGTCTGACCAAAGGCACTAAATGAAGACAATTGTATTTATTAAAGGAAATGTTTGTCAGGCAGATGAACAGTAAAGTTACCCAACTTAAACACATTATGCTCAAAAAGCCAAATTATCAATTAAAACAACATTTAAAGCGAAACAAGATAAATATAATAGCTTTTAACAGAAATTCACACGCTGAAAACACAAACACTGAACAGAATGAACTGAGGGAAACCTTCTCCACATCAAAACATAAATAAATACAAAATGTCTTCCTTAGACAGACAAATGTAAAGTCAATTTTTGCAGTGAGCTGGCTGGTACAAGCATTACACTGCATATTAAATAGGTGGCATTTTATCAGTTATCAGTGCAAAAAACAAAACGAATACAACTGTCAACAAGATGGTGAAAAGTCAGTTGGAATGTATTTTAAAAGTGGTGGGTTATGGATCATCCTGCAGGCAAATGTAGTAAAAACACTAAATGTAAACTTGATTCAGGGTTTTTGTAAAGCACTGTTAGGAAAGCGTGAGGTAAGTGTGCATCTGTCTTTAATATTATTTAGGATATTCAGCAGAACCGAGATGCAGTGTGCGACTAGAACAACCGCAGACTAACACTTCCTGCCTCGTTGTGTAAACACGTTGGAGAGGCACGCATTTCTACTCTCACGCGTCAAATCCAGTGGTTCTACTCAATGAACAGCTCAGCAATTATTCAGGGTGACGGTTGCAACAAGGGGGGGTGGTGGCCCCGCCCTTTGGATTTATACATCTGTTATAACTTTAAATGCATAGACTGCATAAAACTAAATCTTGTAAAAAACAAAGGATTACTCCAACACATGTAAACAATTATTTTTTTTACATTTTAACTCTGGCTTTGTATTAAAAACTTTGACAGTTGAACAATGAAAGGTCGATTTTTAGGACAAACCTGTTCCTGCCTATGTAAATATTCAACCTGTTACTCCACCTATAATCTGTCCTATGTGTAAAATCAACAGGCGGCTGGTAGTTCCCTCCTTCAGTCAGTTTCAGTGGTTAAATAGATGACCACTGGTGACAAGACTTTACAGCAGAAAACAGGTACCAACAATCCTATAAATCCATCTGAGCCAATTCACCGCTGTCTCTACGTATGTTGTTTGTTCCAAACAGTCAATATCGACCCAAATAAAAACTAAAAATGGGGAATCTGTGTTCCACAACAACATCCTTGAAGTCATGTATTTATTATGGCTCCAAATTCTGAGATGATGCTGGTGTGGTCTGAGGGGTTTAAATGTTTTTGATACCGTGAAAACTTGTGTCTTCTAAAGTCCACAGCAAAAGGTGTAATCCAGCTCACCACAGCTGATACGTCTATAGAGCAGGAAACTACAACTTCATACTTTCTCTGAGGGCTTACACAGTTTGAGTGATACTCTAAAGTTTGATTTAAAATGAGGTATCACTTTAGGAAGGGGGCATTTTCAGGGGCAATGCTACAAATCAAACATTCTATTATTCCTTTCTCTACATAGCTTATTGTGATCCCTGGTATTTCATGTGTGTCGTGGCAGTTCATAACATAAAAACTTACAAGCCCTTCTTGAAATATTTTCAACAATTTGAATATCTGCTTATTATTATGCACTTTCTTTAAAAAACTACCCAGCTCCAGTATTCTTAGGCTGATCTCCACTGGTTTGTGATTTGCATTCTGATAGTGATCCTACTGCAGCCAGAGAAGGATTTTGTTAGTCAAATCATCCTCATGCTTTGTTTTTCACATTCATGTCCGTGGTAAACACAAAGTGCTATTGGTGTTGGGAAAACATTAACACCCAAATATTTATAAATATATTACGTTCAGTAGAGATTCAAATGTTGGACTGTAAATTACAGTTAGATTTTAACCTCTCACAGTGTCTGTGCTGGACACAAACATTTTGTTAGTGGTGATTTACTTCTGTGATTCTCAAAAATTAGTCATGACCCAAAATTTTGCAAAAGGATGTTAAGCCAGTATTGCGTATGTACTTGTGCACCGGGTTAGCACGTCAGGCTGTTTTTTCCATAGACTTCCAACTCTTCACGTGCTGCTTTAATAATTTTCCTAAGAACTCATGAAAAAAAAAGAAAAAAAAGAAAACAACATTCTTGCATATCTTAAGGTACTTATTTTGATTTCTACATTCATGTACCCACGCAAACTGCTTAAAGTGAAAATAAAGTCCATATTGAGATATTAACTTGTGTTTGAGAGCTGAGCAGTTTGATTTGGGCCAATATTTGACAAAGGTTTGGTGATTTAATAACATGTGCCACATTTCAGTCTTGTTTTGCTGGAAATTGCAGCCATGACTCCATGAGTTAGTTCAAATGTCTCATAACGTGAAAGAATATCAGATCAGATCATCTACTTTTTTGGCATGTGGACTTTGGCACACTTTAACTAAAAACTTTCTTTTGAGAATCTGAATAATGGAGCTGTGAAAGACAATTTAGTGTAAAAGCAAAAAGCAACTGTGAGGGTACAAACATCTACGACACAATTATATTCTCTCGATCAAAATATTGCGATCAAAATGTGAAAATACAAAGTAGTCATGTGTATTAAATGTATACTGCCAAAGCAGCAGAATTAACGGAGCGACATTCAGAGCCCAGTTTAGTCAGACATGTAGTAGATGCACTGGTTGTATAAATATAATTAGTTCTTATTTCTTTGCAGAGCCTCACACAAGTTGTGGTTGGGATCCGGCTCCTGACTCATGATCTCAACACACTCCCATTCTCCGCTACAGCTGGACCGCTTCACGGCCTCCACCACCGTCTGCACATACAGACCATCCTCAAATGTTGGTGCCATGGCAACTGGTCCTTGCGCCCATGACCTGCGCTCCTCGTGAGCCTGAAAAGACTCTCTCAGTGCCTTTACCATGGAGCTCAGCCCCCGCAGGTGAGGCAGGGGCATCTCTTTCAACTCTGGCCCCACCCACCCACTGTCCCCTAGCAACAGCTCCTCACCGTTACTCCCGTTGCGTTGACCATACAGTTCTGTGCCTCTGGCAACCAACCTCCCAGTGGATCCAACTACCATAACCTCGTGCACGAATGACCCCGGCATGTTGAAGTTCAGGGTCACAGTGCAGCACACACCACCAGAGCGAGAACCAGTTCCACCCATCAACATTTGGAAGAAGCAAAAATCGTCACTGGTGACGCGGCGGATGCCTCGGATCAAACCATTCTGTTGTACAAAAGTCCGCAGTAAGCCGTGAACGCGCTGGGCTCGGGCACCAGTCAGGTAACTTAAAAGGTCGATGATGGCAGAGCCGACAGTGTGCAGACCACCTCCTCCCATCAGCTCCTCGCAGGTCCAGCCGTACGACTGGTCCAGGAGGCTCGGGCCATAGACCCGAACATCGCACACCTGCATTTCACCCACATATCCCTCCACCAGCAACTGACGCATTGCAACAAAGGCTGGCAGGAAGCGTAGGGTATTACCCATAATGCTGAGCAGCTGGGGATAGTATCTGGCAGCAGTCACCATCTTGAATGAATCCACAGCAGTTGCCGCTTTCTCACACACAACATTCTTACCTATACCTGCAGAGAGAGAGAAACGGAAAGTTAATTTCATCAATAATATCTCAGGTAAAGAAAATAAAATTCAAACTTATTTAAAATCAAAGACATAGTCTTCCCACGTAAACAACTTTAATAATTTTTGGTAGTTTAACAATTAATTTTCTTTCAAATATTCTTACATGTTACAGATAAAGGTGGTGAGCTTCGTTTTAACTCATTCTGATTCTTAATTTGCCTTTAGTTACTATGTTCACAGTCAGTTTCCATCTCAAATCACTGATTTGATTAAATTACACTAAATTTTTGACACTTTGAGTCAAAACTGATTCAACAGCTCTCTGAACAACAAAGTGTACGTTTTATTGCACAGGGCTTTTTTTGGAACTACCTTTGTTTTAGCTAGATATATGTTTAAAATGGCAACAGTTTGGGTTTTGAGGTATACTGAATATAATTTGAAGGTGTGAATTTGATGCCTCAGTACTTCTCCACACAATGGAGCTGATGGCTTTTCTTGGCACAAGAGTTCCTCCGGTTTGGTATGAGCAAACAAAAAGTCAACTTTCCCATGTGTTAGCAGAGGGTGTTAGCAGAGTGGGTGTGGACAGTTGTTATCTGTGGGGCAGCCTTCACTACCCCTTCGAATCAGTGTATCGTGGATAAATCCTTTGGTGGGACAAACTCAGGAAGTTGTAACTAAAACAGGAAGCTGAAGTCAACACTCAGGAATTCCATCAGATACAGTAAGTTAACTTTACAGATTTACTCTCCTCTGATACAGTGTGTTGATTATTGCTTCAGTTTTACAAGCAGCAAGAAGATGTAAATTCACTAATGTGTTTTTTCCCCTCTGATTACTAAATTTTAGCTAGATCTCAAGCATAAACCCTGAGAAATATATTACAGAAGAAGGTTTTCAGTTTCAGTAGAAACGTCTTAGTGAGTACTGTCATCATAGACAAAAAATTCAGATCAGTTCCACAGCTGAGCTGCCACGCCCAGCTAAGTCAGGTCGCTTTTGAAGTTTTTGTGACTCAGATGCTCATAGAGTGTAAGAGGAATCTGAAATATGAGGCCAGAACCTGGTGTTTAGGGAAGAAAATGTTATGTTTTTGATACACCCCAAAAAGAAAATCAGCTGTTTATCAAATAATATCCACCGATATTCAGTGTTCTATGTTTTATGTATGTTTTATGGCTTGTAATAGACTTGCATGTATGCACAGATGTTAATTGTAAACGTGTAAGTTTACACACTTATGTGTACAAGCTTGTTGGACAGGTCAACCTGGCAAAAGGAAAAGAGTCTTGAAAAGAGTATGTTTATTCACAAGCTCTCACCCAGTGCTTTGACAGCAATCTGCCTCGTCATTGAGGGAGGAATATAGATGCAAACGAGGTCGACATCCTGGTGCAGCAGGACGTCATCAGATCGGCTGGTGTGAAATGGTATTCCAAGCTCCTTGGCCAAGCAGCGTGCCTCCTCTTCGCTTCGGCCCCAGAGCGCATGAACCTCAAAGCCCTCAGCTTTCAACAGAGGGACCAGCACCCGGGCTGTGCTCCCTGTGCCAAACACACCCACTCCTGGCAACATGGCAGCGCCATTCACTGTGACCTCAGCTGAGAACCACAGTCACACTCTCCAACATCCTAGGGGCCTGGGATCCACTTGTCTGTCACTGTTGTCTGAAAATCTAGGTGAATTTACCTGTACAAAAAGAGCAGAATATTAAAGCTGTGTAACACGAACAAAATCCCTTGTTCATCCAAAACAATAAAAGTATTTCCTGGGTTAAAATTTTTGTTGCTTTTAGAAATAGAACCACAAAAAACGTTACTCTCTTTATAGTAATGTGGAAACAGGACGGTACAAAATGTGATTAAATCTATACAATACTCTTACAATACCAAAACCACACTTCCCTCATTGCACAAGATCTACATTATTGATTTGATTTATCTCCAATGACTAGTGACTCTACCAACAAACAGGACAAACATGTCTGATGGAGGCTCAGACCAGTTTTTTTATCTCTAGTCTCTGACAGCCACTTACATTCTGTCCTGTTACAAAGTCAGCATGCCATTCCTCAGATTTCCCACACCCACCAAAAGTCAACGTCATCTCTATCCCTGCAGTTCTTGTAATTTATGACTGTGTGCGTGTGTCACCTAATCCATGTTAAGTACTCATTCAGTAGGGTTTTCAAACAAGACAAAACCTTATAAGGTTCATTCTGCTACTTGCTCACACACTTAAATATGAAATACTGCAGCTCAGCTGACCTGAGGCCCTAACTCCTCCTTTACCTTTGGTGATTTCCTGGTCTGACTCTTTTGAACCTGTAAGCCCTGTGTGGATTTCAGTCATCCGAGGAATTGTTGTTGGACTCGAGCTGGCCTGTGTGGTCAGAGCACCCGCTGGTGGAATTAGACCTACAGCAATCAGCTGATTAACTGATAAGTAATGTACTGTACAAACATTGCCAACTGCATGTATGAGGAAATTACATCTGGTATTTTCCTACACAGGGAATATTCATGTTTTGAGGCATCTTGGTGGTAGTAAACTGCATCCAGCTGGAGGATGAACAGTTTTGTTTAACTTGACTGAGGAATAATGTTGTGAAGCAGATATTTAATAATTATAATGATTGTGTTATGAACATGTATTTGTGGGAGAAGAGTTGATGTTGAGCTGTGTCCCACACTGTGTGTTTACCTGTGCACCTGCATCACCCTTGTAACCAGAGCTCAAACAAACACACACTTACAAGACTGACAGCAGTTTAACAACCCCCATTCTCTCTGTCTCTCTCTCTCACACACACACACACACACACACACACACACACACACACACACACACAGACAAAGTGAAAACCTAGCTGTGCTGTGGGTCAGATAACAAAGCCACGCCACACTGGTTTCGCTGCTTGGATCGATAATAGCTGGAGATTAGCGACAATTACTGTGATATCACAAACAGAGAAAACGGCCCACATGTTTTATATAGTCGTATATTAGTAATGTGCTCCGGACGTAGCCACGGCTCCCACTCCTGAGCTAGCCCCACTCAGCTGCTCCACACTGGCGTTATTGATAACGCTAGCTAGCACGTTCAGCTAGCCGGCTAGCGAGCCGCAAAAGCCAGTCAAAACAAACTAGCAACAAACACTCGGCCTTCATCTTCGTGAGTCTGTAGAGTGAGAGTGTGTGCGGACGGTACAGACACAGGGTGAGGGGGTATCTACCTTCAGGGACGAGCAGCAGCAGAGGCTCCGGTGGAGCTGGGAGCTGAGTCGGGCGCTGCCCAGTTGCTAATGGTAACTTCAGGACGACAGGCAGCAGTGAGGGGGAGCCGGAGATGGTGTAGAGGCTGGAGATGGGTCACCACCGGAGGACTCACACACACAGGCCAACACGCCACAGGAAAGAATGAGGGACAAAGTGAGCGTGTGAGACGAGTTGTTTTAATTTAGAAACAGGTGACATCTCTTTGAAAAGCACAGAGGCCGTTTTATGTGTGACTTTTTTATTTCAAAGGTAAAGAGAGAAGTTAAAAGACAATACTACCGCAGAAAATGAAAAGATAGAGACACAGAACGATTACAGGTAAACACAAGTGACCACATAGAGACATCAAATGACAACAGGCACACAAGACGACTGTGAAGATACACAAACACAACACACAGGAGACATTTAATGACCACACAGACACTCAAAAGACAACAGGGAGACACAAATGACCACATAGAGACATAAAATGACCACAATGACACTCCACACTACTACAGAGAGACATAGAAAGACCACAGAGACACTCAAACAGCTATGGGGAGATGGAAGACGACCACTAAATGACCAGTACAACTCTGCAATTGACTACATAGAGACACAGAACTACTAAGATACACAAAGTGACTACAAAGAGATTCAAAACGATGACTAAGAGTTAGAAAACAGGGCTGTGAGGCAATCATTGTGTTTGCTATACACAACAACACAACACATGTCATTAGTTTGTTTTCAATCCATTCATGACTGAAGGTGTGCCCATGGAGCAGGAACAGTTGATCAGGCGTTACCTGGGCGTTACCCCATGAGTTAGTGTGCTGGCCTCACTTGTTTTTATATAGTCTATGGACAGCATTGGTATTCTTGACAGACACATCATATATTAGAGACATCATTATATGCAATTTCTTTTATTATCAAAAAGTTTTAACATGACTAATCTACAATGACAGTGGCTCCAACACACGACTCCGAGACCTTGTGAAATTACATTAATATTATGTAATTCATATATTATTATCAATAGTTTTATCCATTCTAGTGCAAACATGACTCCATCAAGATACAAAGATGTTGATCAGTGGATTATGTCCAGATGTGTCTGACAGGTGGGGCAATGGCTTTATGGGAGTCATAGAATATATTACAGTAACACAGAGGGCTCTATGAGGCCATCAGGTGGCTGATGAAGGTTACTGCCACAACATGCTGCTTCAGATGGCGAGAATGAAAAACCTGGACTGGACACACTTAAGATATGGTTTAATATTTCCCTTTAAACTTCTGACACTCTGTCACATTTAAAATGGACAAAATGAGTTTTACTTGCCTTGGATGTTTGATGTGAAACTGTAAAAAGTACAATAAATCTTCAGACTACACCTTGGCTAAAAAGATGGTCTAAGTGAAGTTGCACTTCCATGTAACACTCTGTAGTTTGGAGCTAATGTACTTACATGATTCTTGCTGTTTTGGGTTTGTACCATCATGCTTTTGATAAAAGCATCAGCTAAAGGATATGTATAAAATTTCCAACACTGTTTTACTTGGCAAGCAGATGTATTTAATATCCAAGATTAAAATGGCACTGATCTGTATCACAGGAAATACATTCCTCAAGTTGCTCTAAAGTCTGCAGAATATAAAACAGCCTGTATAAATTTATAAAACAGAGTGGGCCTTTTCTCTTTTTATTGAAAAGTGTTGATTTGGATTTTGGAGCACACAGTATTTTTATGTTATAGTTAAAAATAAAACTTTTTTTTAACTTTTACACAACACTGCAGCTCCTCAGTCAGCTACCCTGAGCGAGCTGACACTTTATTGCATGATTATTAATTTGTGATAGTATAATATATGACAATAAATCAATCACAGGGAAGCAATTTTGATACTTTAGTACATTTGCCATTTTCATGTGTTGTTAAAATTGTGGTTGTATTTGAGGGAAGACTTCTGAATGTGCCTTGCTCTCTGCTGCGTTTCCCCACTCTGACCAGCAGGGGTGGTAGAGCGCTAACGGACCCGGACCAGACCTAGACCGGAAACGCAAAGCCTTGTGGTAGTTTTAGTTCTCAAAGGGGGACGGGTGAACACCGAGAAGAACAAAACCACACATTCACCACCATAAATAAAACTGCAGCCTCTAATCCAGCATAAAAACAAGCCCCGGAAGAGTTCGGGTGGATTCGGTCGTCGCTCGGGGAACATCGGCTCAGTTTTGGGTGAAAAATAAACAGGAAGTAGTTAGCTTTGTGGGACGTGTAGTTCCGCTCGCAGGCCGCGGAGCTTGACAACAACGCGCAGAATAAAGAAACAACAATACAATAATCGAAGCTTCGCCCCCGAGACTTCACCTTCACCGTCGGTGCGGAGGTAAACATGCCCGGCTTCACCTGCTGCGTGCCCGGCTGCTACAACAACTCGCACCGGGACCGGGACCTGCGCTTCTACACGTTTCCTAAGGACACGGCGCTGAGGGAGCTGTGGCTCAGGAACATCTCCCGGGCCGGGGTCAGCGGCTGCTTCAGCACCTTCCAGCCCACCACGGGGCACCGAGTCTGCAGCGTGCACTTCGCAGGTGGGAGGAAGACATACAGCATCCGAGTTCCGTCCCTCTTCCCTCTGCGGGGCGTGAACGAGCGCAGGAGTCGGCGGGGCAGAGGCAGGAAAGTGTCCGCGGGGGTTGCTGCCCCCGGCGCCGCTGCGACCTCCGGGATTGTCATCACCAGCGTGCTGGGCAACACGTCTGAAGGAGCCGAGGGCATCATCGGGGGCGAGGCGACCGACGACACCATCACCGTGGTGCAGATCGGCCAGAACGGTGAGTACCTGGGCACTGCGCGGCTGCCCGCTCCGTCGGAGGGGACCTGTTACACGGCGCCGATCACCAGTGGGGACGAGCTCACCGCGGACGACTCGTCGGTAGATGCCGCGTCCATCCTGCACCAGCTGCCGATGCAGTACGTCAGTGTGACCAGCAGCCCGCTGGACCACTCGTACTCGCTGACCACCGGCACCACGTCCACCGAGCTGCTGCGGAAACTGAACGAGCAGCGGGACATCATCGCCCTGATGGAGGTGAAGATGAAGGAGATGAAGGCGACCATCCGCCAGCTGCGCGTGGCCGAGGCCAAGCTGCAGGAGGAGGTGCGGGAGCGGGACCGGCTGCTGTACGGCAACTCGGTGGCTTTCAGCGTCCGGAAGAAAGTGTGATGGGGGAAACATCACCGGAGACCACCCATTTAAGAGACTCGGACTAGCGGAAAGAACACCGAGGGGGTTGGAGACAACAGATCCAGACCTATTTTGTATAAAACCACGAGCGATGACAATTTATTTTCATCAAGTAGAGCTGATTTTTCGTAGGCCTGATGTTAAAACAGTTGGCTGCCTAGTGTATGTAGCTGATAGTAATAAGCTCATTGCTAATCACGTTCAAACCTGACAAGTCCACCACTGACCTGCAGCCCAGCTAAGGTCAATCACGTTTCATTCATTCAGCAGGTTGGACGGACTTACTACATAATTACAACAGAACTGATGCTAAAAGCTGCCTAGTTGCATTTAAAGTTTTTCTCCTGAAGCTTCTCTCTAACACAGTTTTAACATTTGAACTGAAACTCGGAGGTTTGTGCAGGAAATCTCTCATTGGATTGTAGAGGTCATAGAAGGTGCACCACAGTGAAGTTTCTAAAGGATTTCATTTTGTAACCAAAACACTATTCTTGGCACACTTATGGTGTTGGTCATAAACCATGACTTTATCTGAGTTGCCTTCAAAGTTGTTTTGTTTTTGTTGCTGACAACATCTGCATGACCAGAAAAAGACTTTAATGAATCCTGAAGACTTGAAAGCGCACGCAAAAGAATGAATCCTACTAAAGGATGTTTGTTGCATTAAGTCAATTTCGACTTTTTTCCTTTTACTGAGGAAATCTTGAGAGAAGTATCAAGAAAACCTTTTTCTCAAGATACTTTATGCAACTTAAATATGTACGTCTGTCTCCGAGGTTGTTCAGCGAACCAGCACCTGTGTGATCTGTGTGATTTATTATTGTATGTGCCTGTTTGTGGTCAGATTGTTTTTCTCTCACACAAAACATTAGTGGCTGCATCTCTCTGTCCTGTTCATGAGTGTTTCATGCACTGGAGGTCAGACACATTTCTGACTCTTCAACTTGATCCGACAGCTATGATCTGCCCTCATTTGGAAGGAAATATAATTTTGAAATGGCACTGACTCATTTCAGATGTGTCCTGACTATGTCCAGTGTCACAGTAACGAAACGAAACGAAAACAGAGTGTAGGACAGAAGATCCTGGTGTACTTAATGTTTTTACCTTTGAGTAAAATCTCATGGGGCTGCACTGAGGGCTTTTGTTTGGACTCTTTATAGGAAAGATGAAATAAAAAAAAGAAAAAAAAGAAATGTCCTGTGGCTCCAGTAATTTCTATTTTCAGAAACTATAGGAGTATTTTCTCCAGCTCTTTTGGGCTGTGGATGAATAACAATTGTGTTATTGTGTTATTTAAAATCCTCAATCATGAAGATGTGAATGGAACAAATGCATAAACTTGCACATCAAATCAAACATTATGTGAGGCTGCTCAGTAACAGATGACAACCAGTACTTAAAGCATCACTGTGTTAGGTTTCTGAACAAGATTTTGGAAGAGATGATGTGATTTAATTATTGAAATTGACAGTTGGCTAAATGCCCCCAAAATCGAGATAGCAAACTAAACATTGCACACTGTTATTATGATAGAGCATGCTATCTTTTTCAGGTTGGTTATTTTGATGGAACAGTTGAAAAATATAGAAAAACTGAAAATAGTCTATATTTTTTAAAGCAGCATATTGTCATATTTTAAAAAAAAACGTGAATTGATTTGATGTTTTGAATTCATCAGTCACTTAAGATAATTCATCTGCTTTTGATCTTGTCCAGTCGTGTCAGCTCCATGGTTTCAGTGTGTTCTCATACAGAGCAGTGTAAGGGATAAATTGTAACTCTCACAAACAAGTGGTAAAGTGTGTTTCTTATTGCAGGGGGCTCTGTCAGATGTTGCAGTATGATTTTGAGCCTCTAGATGGCGGTGTGATAGAAACCTGCAGTTAAGCCTCTGTTCAGCCTAATTTGCTTCATCTGTCTGTCTGTGTTTGTTGGCAGCTTTTAACACCATTAGCTGAATTGTTGTTCATATTAAAACCCTGAAAGGTTGAACGTCACAATGTGAAACTAAACCTGTGACGCAGCTCCTCAAACCCAAATTTAAAAATGTGTAATTTTAAACACCAATTGTGATAATGTGTCACATGAAACAGAGAAAGAGGGGAAGGCGGGTGAATGGATAGATGGAGAGCATTGGAGAGAGTGAGGATCCAGATCCTAATCTCATCTGGATTTATTTTTTTTTACTCTCAACAGTGTTGCATAATGCCTTAATCCCGGGCTGTCAATCAAACACAACTTTATCTTCCCTTTCTATGGCTGCAGTCGTTTACGTCACCATCTTTACATTCAGGCCGAACAACAGCTTCTCACCTCAGGTCGTCTCACCTTTAGAGACAAATTATTGAATATGAATGATGTAAAACGATGTAGACATCAGCAAAAGTTTGACATCCTCCTGCGAAGAATCCCATCAGGGATTGTTGTTATTCTTGAATTTTTTATAAAACATGCCATGGGGAAATCATATTTTTTTATAAATTGTTGAACAACGACCACTGTTGAACATTTTTCTCGAGATACATATGTGATGCACTTCAACTACCTTTTGCAAAATAAGATATGTGTCTTTTAAACTGTTCACCAAAAGCTTTGAATGGATGTGCATGTCTCTAGAGCAGGAATGGATGTCCATGTACATCTGCAGGATTCTGTCCAAGGACTTGACCAACATATAATAACACATCAGAATAATTGTCTGCTGTGGAAATCTAAAGATTCTCAATATGTTACTGTATAACTACTCTGAATAGAGCACGTACCTCCACCAAGGCCCAACAGTCCCCTTAAATTTAGCCAAGCGTCACCAAATTTCACACACTCATAGATATCAGTCCCCTAAATATGCCTGACTTTTAAAATCAAGATCCATGAATTATTCCTGTAAGAAATCTATCTTGCAATGATAGAGCAAGCAAAGAGAATTCCTGATTGGAAAGAAACAAAAAAACGTTGGCAGAGGTAATTATACAGCATGACAACGTGCCTAATGACAAAAACATTACAATAGTATGATGATTTACATTCCACGGTCAAACATATGTGGAGGCATGAACATTACACCCATGTGATTGATTATTATGTTGCTTTAACAGCTTCCACAGCTCTTTGGAGACATGTCTCACATCCAGGTAACAATGCAAAAGAGAAAAAAAACAACCCCTGTTTACTGAGCTCATACAAA